GCCACTTCAGGATATATTGAGCTGAACTTTGATGTGGTGGTAATTGAGTCATCCATAATACTGTAAATACTCTTTCTTTCTGTGAGGGCAGCTGCTGCGGGCCTAGGGATGCACGAAAAATCGACCGGCCGATTTATGGGCCCTGATTTCTGTAATTTTGAGAAACTGGAGATGGGCCGATACATGAGAAACTGATTTTTTTGTAGTTTTAACATCAGTTGACTAAACTTCATTTATATTTCAGCGCACTACCTCATTGTAAGTTAAAACAAGTTTGTATTGTTTCTAGGATGTTGTTCAAGGGTATGTTTTTCATTAAAATAAGACTGGAAAATTGAAGTTGCATTGTGAACTTATAACACCTGACAGCGTCGCTTATAAAACAAAATCGGTGTCGGACAAAATCGGAATCGACAGGTCAGGCTTTTTAGAGATCGGTGATCGGCCAGAAAACTGCAGTCGGTGCTCCCGGTCCCCTACCATCAAGCTGCTGACTGGACCTGCTAACAAGACCATGCTGCTAACAGAACAGAACCTTCATGTTGAAAGAACCTCACTGCTATCACACTGTAGATGTTTTTCTTTTTCAATTTTGGCGCCTTGTTTTTTAGTAGCATTTTTTAATATTGTTTTTAGTATGTTACTTTGCTGCATGCTTTGATATTTCTTGTTTTTTTTGGGGGTGAGTCGAGACGGTTCTTCTCGTCCTGAGCATTTCATTGCGTCGGTGACCTTGTGTTGATTTTGCAAATGACAAATAAACCTAACCCGAACCTTCTTGAAAACTTTGACATGCAAGGCAGCGGGTGAATTCCTTAAAAAAATGCTACATTTATTTACCCGTAGAGCCCTCAAAATATTTCCGAGCTGAGCCATAGAGAGTACATTACTGATTAATCCAGAAAGGTTTGAGTCAGCTCCTCCGGACAGGTTCTTCTTTGTTGAAAATGTTTCATCTCTTTTCCAAAATACTTCTTCAGTCTCAGGAACGGAAGATGTATTTGGAAAAAAGACAAAACGTTTCAGCAAAGAAGAACCTGTCCAGAGGACTTGACTCAACCTTGTTGGATTTATCTACCTGGATTATTGAGCATCATGACATCACTGATTAGTTGATGTTAACACGTACAATGCTGAACTCTGGATCTAATTTTGAATGCTGCTTTAGTTTGCTCCATCAGTTTATTTCCAGGCATACCTGGAATATGTTTATTTTATTAGAAGTGATTTTCATTGTATTACCAAATTTACATATTATATAGTAAATACTAGTACAGTTAAAAAGGAGCATTCCTTAATGGAGTGCATATTGCTTGTCGTCTTGCATGCCAAAGTTTAAAACAAAGATCCCACACAGTTAATATGTGTTGTGACTGACTCAGCTACTACATAACTCACCACATTTGACCTCAGTGCTGGTGAAACTTACTCACCTCAAGGTTCAAGGATCTTTACGGTCATTCGCATCACATGTGGTACATGAGGTGGAACGAAATTGTGTACTCCAGGTCCCAGTTACATCCAAAATAGCAAAGTATAAAAATAAATGGTATGTAAGGATCTAAGATGTATGCTGAACACTAATGTAAAATGATATGGTGTATTAAACAACAGCCTGAACATGAGTCTTTTGTGAGCAGATGGGTATGAATGCAGTAGCTTAAAGGCAAGAGATCAGCAGCATGGCTAATCAGCAGCACAGATAAGGCACATATCAAAAATTGCAGTGGCATTACAGTGATTATCCTGGTTAGGGATTTATGAGTCTAAGAGCTTCAGGGTAGAAGCTGTTCCTCAGTCTAGTGGTTCTACACTTAATGCTCCTTAACCTCCTTCCTGAGGGGAGCGGGGCAAAATGTGTGTGTGCTGGGTGAGTGGGGTCCTTCATGATGCAGGTGGCCCTCTTCCTGCATCTGGAGGTGTAGATGTCTGTGATGGTGGGGAGACTGACTCCAACCATCTTCTGTGCAGCCTCCATGCCACACGTTGATGCTGGAGCACAGGATGCTCTCCACTGCACATCTGTAGAAGGAGGTGAGGACTGAGCGTCCCAGTCCAGCTCGTCTCAGCCGCATGAGGAAGTAGAATCTCTGATGAGCTTTCTTGATAACTGTAACCATTTCCCCTTTTTAACCTTTCACCTGTAACCATTGTTGTGTTTGCAAAGGTCAGTTACCTGCAGTGCCATGTTTAATCAAGCTGACCTCAAAGGTTATTCACTTGTAGATTTACATCCAGCAGTTACTTTCTGAGAGTGTCATTAAAACCTGTCCAGTGGTTCATGGGATTTTTTTATTTTGCTATAAAACAAACACAGGCAAATACATCATCGCCAACCTTTCATAAGCAATAATAAACTGGAGTGTATTGCTTTGATTAAAGTGATAATTGGTTTGATTTGGATTATAAGTGGCATTAATTGAACTGTATTTTAAATTACTTTGATTGAATGGTATTTAAGTGGACACAAATTTAAAATGTTTACTTTCCAAATTGCCTTGAGATGACTTTTTTGTTGTGCATTAGTGCTTTTAAAAACACAGTAATCTAAATTAAAGCCGTATTCCTACAAGACATGAGGTAAAACACAGCTCTCCTCGGGGTGCCTGCGCTCTCAATCAACAGGAAGTGATCATCGTTTAGATCCTGTTACCGAACCTTCTTGTTTGTCGTCTTCGGTCGGTTGTGCCAACAGCTGCTTCACCAGAGTTCTCGCTATCAGAGCCGACGCTGTTCACTTTCGAACAATAAGTAGGGACTAGTGTTACGTAGTGCTTGAAGCATACTTTGCCACAGTGTTGTGTACTCCCTTTTACTCTCTTGTCACCCGTTTTTTTTTTTAACTTCGATTCTAAACGTCCTAAATTTATTGCTCGCCGCCAAAAAGCTACAGGCTGCTGGTAATGTTTTTGCATGCGTCTGTCTTTAAACCATACATCTGACCGGACATATTTGAAGTGAGTAAACATCTTCAACTAGTTAACATGGAGTCACCACAGCCAGCAGACAAATAACAGAAATTGTTAGTTATAGTTTTGCAGCAATTAGACTAAAATTTAATCTGGTAGTAGCTGAGAGTCATCTCCACACTTACAATGAGCATGAAATTGATTTATTTAAAAGGTTTGCGCAAACTGGCAACAAGTCAGGGTGAGCAATATTCCTTGGAGAATTGAGCTTTTTATTAAAATTATTATGTTTTTATTCATCTATGCAAACAACAATAAAATAATCAGGAACGAGTCAGTCCAAAGCACACATGCAACACATCTAATCCTTCTCAGCTGCTCAATAATTCATACTCATTCAGGTCTGAGAGGTTGAAGCAGTCTTCTTGGCACACGTGCATTTTGAATGGTTCATTTTATGAGCTATGCAAGGGGTCTCTTAATTGTTGTTTACTGCTTGCTGTCCGACCACGTTATTTTTACGCCAGGGAGATTACTCCCGACAGCGCCTCAGACTGCTCGGGGAAATAAAGTTTATTAAGAGGTTCCTGGAGCCGTTTTTCTGTCAAGCATCGGGAAACTTAACTTCACCAACACAAAAGACTCTCATCCGATTTAAAGTGCCATTCTGAAGAGGATGCATTTGAAAAGAGATCCAAGTGTAGGAAAAATACTTGCAAATTTAAACCGTTTATTGGAGAGCAGGTAAAAATTAGTGTCAAAAAAACAAAATCATTTAGAAATGTCAGTAAAACTTGCGTGCAACACAACAGGCCAGTTTTACAAACTGTAGGAGAAACTCAGTTATCCACGTCTGAATCGTGAAGTGCATGCTATGCACGGCTACATATCTCCAGAATTGTGCAAAGAAGTATAAATTATAAGTTATTTGTCTAACTGTTGACACTGGCAGCAGAGCTCTGGTTAGACTAAGTATATATGGAAATTAATTATTTAACAGGCAGTTACATACTGGTCTACAATGATTATAGCACTAAATAAAGTTATAGCAATAGTGCACTGATTTTTGCCTCTGCGATCGCTTAGAAACTCATTACAGAATACTCCTGTCTGTTGTTTCACATTATGATTGGTATTTGTTTATTTAAGTAAAATAAGGCTATTTCTTCACATTTTGGGGCTGATGACAGCATACAGCATTCAAAACTTACCAGTGTGTGGCTTCTACATGTAAACAGTAGAGCGATAGGTGTAGCACCTAGCAAGATGGCGACCACCCGTCCCATCTACCACTGTCAGAAACCATTCCAGTTTTGTAGTTAAACCTGCTTTCAGTTCTTTTAAAAGTTCCTTCAGAAATGATAATATAATGCGTAATTAGTAAAAATCTTCAGGTATAATTGACAAATTGTCATTAATTCAATAATTTTCCTCCTTGTTTTTGTCGTTTCATAATTTGAACTGGTCAGCTGCTTCCAAGTAAAAAAAACAAAACTACTTGGATCATTTTTAAAAAGTGAATCGAGTGTTGAATACCAAAAGAATGTTGCCATTGGTGTTTCTGTAATTAAAGACTTTAATTGGGTAAGATATTTACAGGACAGTATAAAAAAAGTTTCCGTCATCGTTTTGCCCTACTTACTGACTGACGTTCAAGTCTAAGTATGACTTTTTATATATTTTTTATAGTTTTTTAAACCTACCACAGTAAAAGAGCCATTTCCTTTAATGACTATATAACTGCAGCATAGTCCTTAAAATTGTAATTCTACTGCAAAGCCTCATTATGGTTCAATAAATGGGGCATTAGATGAACAAAAATGAGGGCATTTCGATAGATAAGTAGTTTTTAGAGCAATTTCATAAACTTTCCCTGATTGGGTGTGGAAAAACAAGAGTACCAGGTAGAGCTATGAATGCTTTGTTCCACTGTACTGCACAAAAACAATGCAGTCAATCCCATCCTGCTTTTATACTGTTAGTCTACCTTAAGAACTCACCCACAATTCTAGATGGCTATTGCAATGCTTTGTGTGTTTGCTTGGAATATGAGACATTAAGAAAACACTTCTCTTTGTTCTCACCTCACAGTTTGTCCAAAGGACCCAGAACTTGGCCTGTTCAGACCATCATGGTCTCCATATTCATCGAAGAGGTGCACTGAAACTCCAGTGTTCTCCCTGCCAAGACTTCACCAGTTAATAAAACTATGAGCTCTCACAGCCGGCAAGGTAAGATGTAACAAATATTGTCCTATTCTGTAGATTTGTGAACAGGTGGGATCTATGAAAGTTAACGCGGATACATTTTTGCAGCACATGATGACACTGGTTAGACTTTTCCCTGTAAGTCCAGCTTTGTTTGGTTCGTGACTCTTTGAAAGTATGAATGGCGTATACTGTATATACTGACTCATTCAGCTTTTGTTGGCTTCCTGAGGGGAGAGTTGCCACTGTGTTTGACTTATGTTTTTGTATCTGATCAATGTGTCCCACTCGAGATCAGCTGTGTCTCACAGTTTTACCGTTTTAATCCAAAAGTAATAACGACGGAGTATAAACTCATTACAGAAGTGAGAACAGCATGGTTTTTACTGAGGCTATAGAATATTTGTTTGTTAGATTATACAGAGGAAGAAATGTTGGTTAGAGAGAAGGTGAATGTCCTGACAGACTCAGATGGTTCCTGTCATTACGTACCTCTTTTTATTTCTTGATTACGTCACTTTATGAAGCAATGATGTGGGTCGTACTTTCCTCATTTCATTTTCCGCCCTCCATCACTTTCAAAATGTTTTTATGATTGTTTTCTTCAAGTTGCTGAATTTTTAGTGCTTTATACCGAATATACTTACTTGTTTATAAACATTAGTTGACTAATTTGTGGTTTATTGAACAAAATAAATCATATTTTTGCAAAAATATACCCATCTGTCCTAACCAATCAGTGTCAATGTTATAGAAATGTTTATCATCAGTTGCTGAAAGGCTACAAACACAAAATGGCTATAGATCAGCAACGTTTCCAGATACTGAGCTAAAATTAGTTAAAGCACCATCTCAAACAGACACTTAGCATGCTAACAGATTGTACAAAATCTTTGTTTAAAACTACCATTAACTATTGGAGTAAACACTGTATTTTTGTTGGTTAACTTTCACATGAACAACTGGACGGAATTAAATTAAACTTAAAAGGTAATTGCTGGACGTACAACTAAAACTGATGATCTCTTTGAGTCAACACAGTTTAAGATGGCCGATGCAGCTTACTGACCTTGGAACAAAAAGCTTTACCGATACTGAGTGTGAATTTGGAGTGGTTTGAGAGTTGTCCTCAACACGTACATCAAGCTATCTACCACAAGCTAAATTTAATGTTATTTTCAGAATTTGACCCCCAACCCCAAAACTTGTAATTTTTCAAGATAAGACAATCTTAGTTTAAAACTCTGTCTGTGTATGCAGTGGGTGATATGCATTCCTCCAAGAAGAGCTGAGCCTTTAATTCTATAGGTAACTAATATTTACTTAACAAGTAAACATGGCACAACCATGGCTAAGCAACCATACAAGCACCATCAAGCTGATGCGAAGGTGGCATTTATAAGACTGAGTTTGTTGTGGCTCCTCGGACTGATGAAGTCTTTTGGATGAAAGACGAAACATTTCAACAAGAAGAAACCATCCAGAGAACCTGACTTAACTTAGTTGGATTTTTCTGCCTGGATTATAGAGCATGAATCGGGACATGGCTAAGCAGTTTTCTTTTAGGTATCAGATGTTTCCAGACTGGACCAAAGTAGGTGAGTTATGATTGTGCTGAAAGTTGTGAGCTTTAGGTATAAACCTCTCAACTGACTTTTCTATTTTAGTATCTTGGACGTTGGGAAAGGAGCTCTCACTTCTCAATTTCATGTCTTGTTAGTGGTTCATTTTCTCCTTGTCGCCTTTCAGTCTGAGTAGCATTACTAAGCCCTTTTCCACATATGACACATCATAATTTCCTCTTCTAAAACCACCGCTTCGAAGGACTGAAGAGCCTTCTGTCCAACTTAAACTTGGGTGGCACGGGCTGCCATGTTGTCATGCTACTTGGTATTTTGGAACAGGGTTTATAGCCTTGGAAACAGAACTAGAACAAAAACATAAAAAAAACTCTCATCCCCATTAAGCCCCCACCCTGCTGCCCTCCACTTCTCTCATTTCTCCAGCAGCAGTAATCGGTGGCCTGTCCTAGCTAGGCGTAAGGGGGGCAGGAGGGGTCTTGCGTCAAGGCAACTCCCTGGTTTGGGTCTCAAACAGAGCTGGCCCATCTGCTGCTGGAGGCCTTGTAGAGAATGTTAAAAATGTTCTACAAACTAACCAAAACAAACGAGAATAAAAACCAGCAGCTTGTTGGTAGCATGCAGTCTTGTCATGTTTTTGCTCCTCTAATGTCTTTCCCACATCTTATTCGTGATGACGAGGCGGCTTTGAGCTTCTAGGACGTGCCAGCGTTCAATCCATGTTTGGGTTTTTATGGAAAGCGAGTCTCAAAATGAAACGAACGTCCCTGTGAATCATTTTTTGTTTTATAAACTGCTGGGTTTCCTCCTTTTTGGGATAGTTCTGGTCGTCCTGTTCCTTCCTCTGATGGAATGCAGGTTTTTTTCTGTTTTCACGAGTCTCTCCATCCTAATATGACTTTACATTATTTAAACTCAACAGCTTGTGTAACTGCTTCACTGATTGACTGTCTTCTATGCTAGTAATTACATTAAGATAATTATTATCAGCACAGTTTTTTATTTATTTAAGAGCAGAAATAAACAGAGGTCATAAAGGTCGGTTAAACAGCGATTATTTGCTGCAGGTTTTCACAAAATGTGTCCAGCAGTTCATGGATATTTTGGTAACACACAAACACAAAGACGCACAAGTGGGCGATAATATTTTTATGTCAAAAACACATATTTTTCCCACTCATCTGACAAATGGTTGTAATTAAATATGTTTTTAGGACTATAACATCCATGCATAGATTTTATCCCATGATATTTTTATACGCCCGTCGAAGATGGACATAATATGGTACAGTATTTGTACCGTACTTGCCGCCGTATACGTCACATCAGTCCAAATATGTCTAATAAAGTGGGAAAAAAAAGTTGCTTCACTGTATAAGTCGCATCTATTTTGCGTCACTGCAGACCACCTGGAAACATGGGCCGGCGTTGTACCAAAAATCAATTGGAGGAGCGTACTGCAGGAGCGTACACAGGAGGACTTTAACAAGATTAACACATAAAAACAATTTTTTGTTTGCTCAAAATTATAGCAAAGGTGTGTCTTAGTTTAATTTTTCCTTAATAAATGCACTATATTGGTCAATTCAGCTGCATTTCAAAAATCAATTTGCGGGAGCACGCAGAAGGAGGACTCGCTGTGCATTTCATCGAAATTTAACAAGATAACCGCCTAAAACCAAATAATTTGTTTGCTTAACATTATAGTAAATGTGTCTCAATTTAACTTTTCCTTAATAAATGCACTTTAATGGTCAAATCGGCTGCATTTCGTCTGGGCGGTGCGGCAAAATGCAGCTGATTTGACGTTTGCTCCAGGAGTTCCAGAGCGAGACGAAGGTGGCTTTGTATGGCAAGCTAAGTGTCTCATTAATAGCCACTTTTACCTATTAATGAGACACTTGGCTTGCCATATTAGTCGAGGGTCCTCTAGTGGCTGAAAATGGTAGTGTTCAATATTTTCCATGTCAAAATGAATGAAATCATCAAATCTCAGCCAAAAATTGGTTATAAATATGGGGGGGAAAAAAAAAAAAAAAAAAAAAA